TAAATTTTCTTTTTGATGCAAAAAATGCAAAAGAATCGTTTACATGTAACGAAACAGTGGATTCATCTCAAATCCTATGAAAACTGAATGATTTCTGTTATCCTGAAGGGTTGAAATGTTTAGCACTCATAGAAAGTTTGATACCAAAACGAAAAATTTAGGAAGGTTTATTAGAAATCTCAACAGCTTGGATGCTCAAAAAGAGGGTCCGAAGTTTCCAAGTCAGGATGTTTTGTTATACTTGAATCAACTTTCAGTTGGAATTTGCACTCTCGTTTTGGCCAGAACTGGACGGTTTATTTATCAGTTGTAGGTTCATAGTTATCTTTGTTTTGGTATAGTTAGTTTTTTAGTTGCCTTCATATTGCACACCGTCACAGACAAGATTACTTTATATGAGAATCTCTCATGTGTTGCGAGTCTGGTTCCTTGCTTTTTCTTCTTTGGACTGCAATTTGATTACAAAGAGGTACTTTGCAGGAAAGTAAAGAAAATACATGATGCTAAAGAATCTGATGGAAGAGAAGCAGTTGAACTTCAATCAGCCACTTCTATCTGTGAGACGATTTTCAGCGACAGTGGTCTCCTCAGAAGCTGATGAAAAAAGGAAGACTGAAAAGTCCCTACCCAAACTACCTCCCCTTCCCGTTTACAAATCAGAGTTGAAATCAGGTCCCGTGAGGAACCCCGGAACTGTTCCTTTTGTATGGGAGCAAATCCCAGGAAGACCCAAGGATGAAAGAAAATCACCAAATCAAGCTCTTGAATGGCTTCCCACTGCACCAAAGCTTCCGCCTGGAAGGGTTTCAAAGGTTAAGAAGCAAGCAACGGATAAAGGTTCTAAATGTACAACTGCTGCTCAATCACCAACTGGAAATGTACTTTCGAATTCTCAAAATGTTTCAACCTTGGATACAAAAGAAGCTACTAAATATGACAGCTCTAAAGTGGAGATGGAGGAAAAGGGTATTGCTGGTTCAGACGATGGTGATGAGACCTATTTAGATGCACTTTCTAGGAGTGAATCATTCTTTATGAACTGTAGTGTAAGTGGTTTGAGTGGACTGGATGGTCTAGATATCAAACCATCTGGAACCTTCTCAACAGATCCACAGACTCGGGATTTCATGATGGGCCGGTTCTTGCCTGCAGCAAAAGCTATGGCTTCAGAAACACCTCAATATGCTAGCAGGAAGCAACCAGTTGCCCGAGAGCAACCACTTTTGCAAGAGCAACCAAGTGGGATGAAGAAGGTAGTAAGTTTGGATAAGCAACTTCCGCTTAATCAACATAGGCCAAAGGATTTGCCACATTATGTTCAAGATATAGCTGGGGACAAAAGTGAGGATGAAGGTGATTATAACAAAAATGTATTAGCTAATGTTTGTTGGGTATTTACTTGATTTATTCTTAAAAAATTCCTTTTGCCTTTTGAATCCTGTTCTAGGTATGAGAGTGCAAGCGCAATTACCCATTTCTTCAGTTAGGAGAGTGCGGGCTAAATCTTCTTATGCCATTTCGTACAGAGAAGCTAAAAAAGAGGTATTTATCCTTCTCCTTTTTTGTTTCCTTTTTTTTGTTCCTGGTTTTCCTTTTGTCATCATCATGCCAAGAATCCTTGTTGAACATCTGCTATTTATTTCTCTAGCATTCTGGGGGTGATTCATGTGAAAAAAGATTAATGAATGGACATCCGGAAGCTAGGGTGCCTGAGGATAAGAACGATTTGATACATGAATCCAATCAGATCACCAACATAAGTGATTGTCAGAAATTAGATGGGTCACCTATGTACAAGCGTCTACAGGGTAGTGGCATATCACCCTACCGAAATGAATGTTCTCAGCATGAAGAAAAAGGTTTTCTTGGTATTCCTGAAAGAGCTAAGAATTCCAGAGAAGCTATTAGCTCTGGCAAATATCGAAAATGCCACAACAATTTTCAGGAATTATTGGCTGCTGAGAATGTTGCTGAGTTGGAAATGGGCCCAGGGAGTCCTGTGGTTGAGAAGACTCTGTATATTGATTCAGTACAAACTGCAAAATCTCCAAATTCAAAATCATGTTCCTCAGATACAAAGGGCCGTATTATTGATTACAGAGGGAATGGTTTTGAAATTCGTGAGAAAAGTGATAAAGTGGAAGAAATAACCCATTCGGTAGAGTCTTCATTCCAAGATACTGAGCACTTGGGTGATGGGAATGAAAAGGCAATAGTGCGGTATAAGAGTTTGGAGTTTCCTGACTCCGGCTTTCTATCTTCTTCTGGCAGATCCAGTGATGATGTGCAAACCGACATTAGAATTGGTTATATACCAAATCAGGATCGTATTCAACATTTTAGCAAATTGACAAGCTCAAAAGGTGCTGATCAAGAGAAGTTAAATTTAGAAAGCAAACAGCTAGTGAAATCAGGTGATAGGGAAAATTTTGTTGGCCTTACTCCGGATTGTACTACATTGACAAGCACAAAACTGGCCGGTGAGAAAAAGATTGGTTTAGAAAGCCAACAGTCTAGGCAATCAGGTAGAGAAGACATTTCTCATGGCCATGTTCAGAATTCAGTTGCATTGACCAGCTCGAAAGTGGCCAATAGGGGGAAGATTGATTTAGAAAGTCACCAGCTTGTGAAACTTGGTAACCAAGAAAGTCCCCGGGGAAACAAAGTACCACTGCCTCTTGGACCCCCTTTACCAAAATCTCCATCAGAGTCTTGGCTAAAGCGTACCTTACCTAGTATTTCCTCCAGGAGTTCATCTTCACAGTCTTCTCTTGGTTCACGGAGTTATACTAGCAGTCAGGCTTCCAAGACATCCTCTCTTGATCCCAAGTGGGAGACAATTGTTAAAACTTCTAAACCGCACCATGGACATTTGCGGTTTTCAGAGGTAGTTCTCAACTCTAAACCTTCCTGGCTTTAGTTTTACCTGTTTGTTGAGGGGTTGTTTATGTTACTCAATATTTTATCAGGAGCTTCTGACACCTATACCGGAAGCTTAGACGTACGGAAGCTTTGTCTGAAGCTCACCAGTTTATACATTTGCCTTGATGGAATAATGTCCACTCTTTTGATGGGAATATAGGTGCAAAAACTGTACTTTTCACTTTAATACAACCTCTGTTCTCCAAGGTATCCCCTTACAAGTTACTTTACTCAGAAGTTTGGTATATAATGGATACTGTACATCAACAAGCCCATTTCTTATCCTGTAAATCTCATCTCATCTTTTTGTTTTTTCTTTCTGAACTTAAGTTTGTTCTCTATTGGGATTCTTGTGTAAAGGTAATCAATAGCTGTATATCTTTTTCTTATTTAAAGTTTTTTTAAATAAAAGGAACCTGGTGTACTTAAAGCCATGTGCATTATCTGCCATGCATAACAAGCAGAGCAGTTTTCTTATATCTTCGTTGACCAAGGAAATGTTCACATATCTAAAATCCATGGACCATCTCATCAATTTTGTTGAGTTAAGGCCAAGATATGTCTCCAAATCCATACATTTTTCTTGGATGGAAGAATAACTCAGTTTTAGCATTTATTGGTGTTAAGACATGTATATTTAGTTATAGCATTTCCTGTTTTTCATATATCAGGTTTTGATCTAGTCCAATGTAAAAGAACCTTGACTTGCAGATTAGTGGTCTTAGATTTGAACATCCGTGACACTAATGGTGTGAGAAATCCCAGTCATCCTTTTAGTTTAGACTATCGCTTGTATTAAAAATTAAATAAAGGTTTTAATAGCTTTTTTTTAGGTGCTACTCATGGCCAATTTGCAAGATCACGTAAGTATTGATTGAGGATATTATTTTAACCTAATAAGCCTGTTCAATTTACTAAGCTGCACACAAATCATGCGATACCATCTAGTGGTGTTTCTTAAGTCAGAAACGAACTTTATTGCCAGCACATGTATCTTGACCATTTCTATTTCAATCCATAGAATTAGTTTATCTCTCTCTTTCCTTCTAGGGCCTTCCTGTAACCAGACAGGGTCTTTCTCACTCCTTAGATCTTAATGTGAGTAGTTGAGATAATTGGAGTTGGAATTCTTAGGCCATCTCCAGCCATGGGTTATATCCCAAATATAGTCATAAAATAATGCAAAACTCCATCTCCAGCCATGGGCTAAATAAAATTTTGGCCAAATTTGGAGGGCCACGTTTGGCCCTTTAGCCCTCCAACCAGGCCACATATAGCCCACCTTTACTCTAGACCAAATTTTTGTGGGCCCATGCATTTGCATTTTAAAAGCCAACAATAAAGTAAGATGATATCATAGCTAGATATATATAATAAAATATGAAGGATCCTAAAATATAGCCTTGCATGGCTGGAGATGGAAAAATTTAGCCCTGCACTATTCTTTAAAAAATTAATATTTTGGAGGGCTAAA